CATTTGTTAACATTTAGTTAATTCTTGATCTTCAATATAAGATCACATTTTACTAACCATTTATATTTTGCCACATAATTATTATTGATATCTCGATGTCATACTTTGATGCATATTAGCGTCTATTTCATTGTGCAATTAATGCATTTGTTATTTTGTACTATTATAACCCCCAAAGATTGTGGAGAGATTTGGCTCTTTAATTTAATTATTATTCTACACTTCACTTAATGCTCTCGCATTATATTATTAATTATTCTTGAGATCCATAGGCACTGGTTCTCTTAATTTATTACAATTCATAAATTCAATTTATATCTCCCTTAATGTGAGTGAGCTTTCGATAATATTAATATTATTGTATTATTATTATTCTGGAGCCAGATTTTCCCACATATTTTTTTGGTCGACTTCGAACCGGATAGACCACATTAAATTCATAAAAATTTTAGGGTCCAGTATATGAACCCAAATTACTGGTCCTATATAATTAATTATAAATTAACTAATCATTTACTAACCCTGATAATATTATACTCATAGATTAGGAAGTATTGTCAGGTGTTAGGATATAATTTACGGCAATAAAATACTGCCACACTCAATTAATAACCTTGTGTTAATTAAATTTCTTATACACGTATTTCCTACAAATGTATATACTATATATCAAAATTTTCAAAATCCCCAAAAACATTGCACCACTATATATTCAAATAATTTGCGCCACATTTACTGTAGTTTATGCCAACCCAATAGAGGTAGGATACTTTTAGACTATAATTGTACTAAAATTTGTATAAATTCAGCCTAAACTATTTAGCTACATATTAGGTAGGATTATTACCTAACTAATACTGTTAGACAGAGCTAGTGTATCATTATTTAATGTTGTGCAAACCATTTGTAGGGTGAATTTACTTTTAACACAATTGTGTACACATATTTCATTATATTTCTCATTGTATCTACCTTTTGAGTGCTACAGAGTGTCACTATACCAACTGATGATAATTGAAGAGCTAACCGGACGTATTACCTATGTGGCACTTAAATACTACTCAAATATTAGCTTCTGTTAGGTAGATAAGCTAGCCACTATACGATGTATAATTAAAATCAGCCTAACCAAGAAATTAAATATTAGGCTGTTAATATCCATACCTGCTCTACATATATGAGCAAGTACCATAGCTTTCAAAATAGCTATATAAACCCTATAAGGTTCAAACCCATAGCCAACATGGCTACTCCAGAAAAAAATGGAAGCACATTGAAAAGTCTTCAAAGTCACTTGTCAAGACTACTCAACAAATGGGGCAACTGGATAGAAACAGATCCAGTTGACATCATCAAGTTAGGAATTTCCACAAAAGTGGCTAGCCAAACATTTGACCAAGTAAAGGATATAACCGGGTCTTATAGAAATATACTCTTCAGTAATACTGACCCAGACGAAATTAGTGTAATTGAATCTGACCTTGCCAACAATGAAGGCAAAATTCAGGCTAAGGTAGATCATTATTACAAAGTGCTTGCAACAGAAAATGTTTCTACTGGGTTGGAACATTTTTCAAGGTTACCTATACCCTAGCAAGCACCCAGCTCAGAGAAAATAAATGAGCTACCTCAAGATGAGGAGATTCCTCTAATTATATTAGATCTTTACACTGGATCAATAATTATAGATAGACCTTCATTTTTTACAGTCTCATCTAATACAACTTCACATAATGATCTATTAACAGAATCGGAACAGCTTTCAGAAAGCTCATTCATATGTTTCATGGATTCTGTGAATTCAATACATGAGGCTACTGAATTAATAAGCTTCCCACATGAACCCAGAGAAACAAGTGAAGCTGCAATTGAAGATGAAACTGCAACAGATAGTGAAACTGAAAGAGAAGATGCAGCTAAAGCTGCAACAGCAGCTGAAGTTGGATTAAAAGCTGAAGCTGTATTAAAAGCTGAAGCTGTATTAAAAGCTGAAGCTGAAATTTAAGCTGAGCCTAAGCAAGAAGCCTTAACCAAAACTAGTGATGGTCCTAATCACTCAAACCAGCCTCCTAGAGGTGTTGCTGAACCCATTAGCATCAATCAAGCCATCCAGCTCTCTAAGAAAAGTGCTGACAATGAGAAGACTATCATAAATCTCGTGCACCAGCTACTGGACTTATCTCAACCAGATCAATCAGTTGACTCTTTACAAGTTTTTTAGTTTTCAGCTCGAGTCACTATTAAGATCCTTCAGCAGTGAAGTGCTGCTGAGTGGATGACTAAAACTGTCATCCAGAGAAAATTGTCTAGCGAAGTGCTAAATGAATTGTATTCATACCAGAATGGTATTGTAAATTGAATGGTACTGAATGGTCTGTGTGGTAATCAATAATAAACAAGCAACCCAGGCACTTAATGCCTATTCTGAATCAACAGAAACTGTACCCACATTTAGTTCCTTAATTGAAACTCCTAAAGTAACACAGTCATTAGGTAATAAGGGTACTAATAATAAATGTAATACTGTTACGGACCCGAGTCCAGCGTCCGAGCCCGGAGCAGTGACGACCACGCCATCTGTGGGTGAGCTCCCGAAACCCCCTCCAAATGGACGACGCCATCTGGTGAGGACGAGATATACCGGCCACAGGGGCTGGTTTCCCGTCTTAATCAGCTCGTGACATAGCCACTGCTGACCTCTGGTGAGGTGACTGCTTAGACAGCAACGCCATCTATGGAGTGGATAGGTGGACGTTTGTGTCTAAGCCGGTAAGTGAGGTGCCCTAGAGTGTAACTAGTACTGATGACGTGTCTGATTACAGAGTCGACCTGGGACTGCTGTATTGGACTATGAGGCAGTCTACCCAAAGCAGCCAAAGTCTCTCCACGTGTTTGCTGCAGAAGCTGTGAGTTGCTCCCGGACGACCACTGCTGAGAGTGTTAGCCTGCCTGTGACGTGGCAGAGTTGAGGATTCGTCGTACCCGGGGTTGACTGGTGAAAGAGACTAGCCACTGTGGTGAGGAGAGTGATCTGTGGAATCACACGAGGCCCCTGCCTAGGGCTCGCAACCCTAGTATCGGTAGTGGAGTGGCCTACGCAGCGGAGCTGATTGGAACCTGCCAGCTACAGGCTGGATTTGTGGTTGAAGGCCTCCACGATGGTGCACCCAGTGGGACTGTGATTTGGCTGGCCTGTGGCCAGGGTAGACTCGCCGAGAGAATCGAAGGATTCATCGTGGGCCACAAAGAAGAGAACCAGGGCTACTCATCGTGAGCACCGTGAAACATCCTGAGTCTTCGGAGGAAGGCAAGCTATTGTACATAAGTGTAGTTATAGACCCAGCGAGTGACTGTGAGATATTTATTTATGGTGGTGGAATAATTATATATTTAATTTAGTGTATTTGTATCCCTTCCCCTTTAATTTTCTTGCGTTACGGAACACACCCCTTGAAAGCCACTACTAACTTGGGGCCGGATACCCAAACTCTACTAACATCAGAGAAGAACCCCAGTTGCGACCCAATAGAGCCGTAACAAATACCAACAGGTCAAACACTGATTTATCAGTGAGACCTAAGAGTCTAATAAGTGCTCCCAAGAGCCCAATAATTACTCCCAAGAGTAAAATAAACACTTCCACCCCTAGTTGGAAGAAACAAAACCACAAACACATGCAAGCAGCAAAGCCTTCACAACCTGTAGTTGCAGTATCACCTAAACCGGTGACCCTTAAACGAGCTGTAGGTCGAGGGTTATGTTTGTTTTGCCATCAAAACCATTATATGTACAAAGGAACAAATTACTCTAATAGAAACACCCGAGTCAGCCGACTTCAACAGTTACACAGATGTACTCGGTATCTCAAACCTCATAATACTAACAGCTGTGAAACCCCACTGAACACCTGCAATAGGTGTAGAAGGGGCAAATATCATGCTGCACTGTGCAAATTTGTCAAATCAAATTATTTTAACCTTAGAATAGGAGGTAGAGACTCTGCACAAGTACACTGCTGCAAGGTGCGGGAAGCTTACAGCGTAATATCACCAGCATCTCAAGTCGATGCAATATTGCCAACTGCCCAACTTCAAGTAAAGAATAAAGGGGCGAAGATCACCGCACGTGGCCTCTCCGATCAAGAGTCCCAGAAAACTTTCATTACTCAGAAAGCGGCAGAAGCACTTAAATTAAAACCAATCACACAGGTAAAATTAAACCTGTAGGGGTTCATGATAGAAGAACCCCAAGAATATTCAGTAGTACAACCGCTCGTACGCCTAGGTTGTTATGTCAGGTCTATTCAGGCCATAGTGGTAGATAAATACCATTTGACCTAAATATTAAAGGTCTAGGGTACACAGCCATTTTCCTACAGAAAAATGGAATTAAACTGGCTGACAACCAGTTAACGTCTGATCGCCTCAACAATGTGAATCTACTAGCAGGAGCAGACTACTACTGCCAGTTTATTACTGGTCATGTTAAACAACGGGGCATGAATTTGCTCCAATCTGCAGGTGGCTACTTAGTTACAAGTAAACTTTTAAACCTGAACAAGCCTATGCCTGCTGGCAACAATGTTAATAGAAATTAATCAGCAGTAAATTAATTCTCCAACAACAAGCATAAAGGAGAAACTCAGCTGAATATTAAACCCAGATTGGGTCTGGTACAATTAATATTCGCAGAGATGTTTCTATGAATCTCAGTGGAAATTCATTGCTTCGCAGCCTAACCAGATGCATGTCACAGCGACCAAGCCTCTGACCTCACAGTAGATCCAGAATTGTTCTCGACAGTAATAATTGACCACACTCAGTCTCCCTATGTAAATTAATTAAATTAGGCTAGAGACTCTAGCACCCAATGAATTTAGCAGTAACATGCAGTCATCAAGAGCTTCCACACCTGTAAATTCACCAGGACCAAGGTCGACAATAATCCAGCGCTTAAGGTCTGCCAAAAAAGCCTTATATTAGTCTTAACCAGACAACCATTTATTCAATGTTTTCTTCACTAGGATCTAGTGATTTATCTGCTTTATTTTTGTTTGAGCTGTTTCCTTTTCGCTTCTGCTCTTCAGCAATCTTAGGAACGTTTTTTGTAGAAGCGCAGCCCGAGCACGATTGCAAACTTGCAAATTTGTAAGTGAACATATAAGAGAAAACTATTAAACTGTGAATCATATAGGTTGGGATAAACCATTACAAATTATCTTCTAAGCACGTTTAGCCGTAATAACAATATTAATTCTTTCCAGCATCCTTAGGTTCAAATCATTTAATGAATTAACACAAACGTTAAGTATTGTAACCTAACATGCTTAACATGAGCTTGCTTACTGCTCCCCCCCCTGACCCCTGAGTCTTTCATAGATTCTGTGCTTAGCTATCCCTCAAGAAGGATCCTGCAGTAATTTAACCCCAATAAATCGAGCTGACTCAACAGCTCACCTATGAATTAACGAAATATTTGAGCGCATTATTGTTCCCTATGATAATTTGAACGCATTACTGTTCACTGTGATAATTGAACCCATTATTTCTCCCCACGATAATTCGAATGCCTTATTGCTCACCCGTGATATTGAACACCTTATTGCTCCCAACGCTAATTCGAGAACCTTGTTGCTCACCATCATCATACGAACCCCTTGTTGCTCACTATCATCCGAGCCCCTTGTTGCTCACTATCATCCGAACCCCTTGTTGCTCACTATCATCCGAGCCCCTTGTTGCTCACTATCATCCGAGCCTCTTGTTGCTCACTATCATCCGAGCCCCTTGTTGCTCACTATCATCCGAGCCCCTTGTTGCTCACTATCATCCGAGCCTCTTGTTGCTCACTATCATCCGAGCCCCTTGTTGCTCACTATCATCCGAGCCCCTTGTTGCTCACTATCATCCGAGCCCCTTGTTGCTCACTATCATCCGAGCCCCTTGTTGCTCACTATCATCCGAGCCTCTTGTTGCTCACTATCATCCGAGCCCCTTGTTGCTCACTATCATCCGAGCCCCTTGTTGCTCACTATCATCCGAGCCCCTTGTTGCTCACTATCATCCGAGCCTCTTGTTGCTCACTATCATCCGAGCCTCTTGTTGCTCACTATTATCCGAGCCCCTTGTTGCTCACTATCATCCGAGCCCCTTGTTGCTCACTATCATCCGAGCCCTTGTTGCTCACTATCATCCGAGCCTCTTGTTGCTCACTATCATCCGAGCCTCTTGTTGCTCACTATCATCCGAGCCCCTTGTTGCTCACTATCATCCGAGCCCCTTGTTGCTCACTATCATCCGAGCCTCTTGTTGCTCACTATCATCCGAGCCCCTTGTTGCTCACTATCATCCGAGCCCCTTGTTGCTCACTATCATCCGAGCCGCTTGTTGCTCACTATTATCCGAGCCCCTTGTTGCTCACTATCATCCGAGCCCTTGTTGCTCACTATCATCCGAGCCCCTTGTTGCTCACTATCATCCGAGCCCCTTGTTGCTCACTATTATCCGAGCCCCTTGTTGCTCACTATCATCCGAGCCCCTTGTTGCTCACTATCATCCGAGCCCCTTGTTGCTCACTATCATCCGAGCCCCTTGTTGCTCACTATCATCCGAGCCTCTTGTTGCTCACTATCATCCGAGCCTCTTGTTGCTCACTATTATCCGAGCCCCTTGTTGCTCACTATCATCCGAGCCCCTTGTTGCTCACTATCATCCGAGCCCCTTGTTGCTCACTATCATCCGAGCCTCTTGTTGCTCACTATTATCCGAGCCCCTTGTTGCTCACTATCATCCGAGCCCCTTGTTGCTCACTATCATCCGAGCCCCTTGTTGCTCACTATCATCCGAGCCCCTTGTTGCTCACTATCATCCAAGCCCCTTGTTGCTCACTATCATCCGAGCCCCTTGTTGCTCACTATCATCCAAGCCCCTTGTTGTTCACTATGATCACTTGAGCATATTATTGCTCACTAGCATTATTCGAGCACCTTATTGTTCCCCATGATAATTTGAATGCATTATTGTTCACCATGATAATTGAGCCTATTATAGTTCCCCACGATAATTAAAACGCTTAATGCTCCCCATAATATTTGAACACCTTATTGCTCTCCACGCTGACTCGAGCCTAGTAATGCTCACCCTGATAACTTGCAACTATTATTGCTCACCATGATAACCTGTGCAACTAGTATTGCTCACCATGATAACCTGTGCAACTATCATTGCTCACCATGATAACCTGTGCAACTATCATTGCTCACCATGATAACCTGTGCAACTATTATTGCTCACCATGATAACCTGTGCAACTATTATTGCTCACCATGATAACCTGTGCAACTATTATTGCTCACCAAGATAATCTGTGCAACTATTATTGCTCACCATGATAACCTGTGCAACTATTATTGCTCACCATGATAACCTGTGCAACTATTATTGCTCACCATGATAACCTGTGCAACTATTATTGCTCACCATGATAACCTGTGCAACTAGTATTGCTCACCATGATAACCTGTGCAACTATTATTGCTCACCATGATAACCTGTGCAACTATTATTGCTCACCATGAATTTCAAGTTACATGCTTCATAAAGTCTCAGGAAGACTATAGTATTGTAGTATAATACCTATAAACCGAGTAGGACCTACTACTCATAAATAATATAGTTAGACTAGGTGTTTGTTAAGTCTCTAAAGGGCTATAGCACTGTAGCCTAACGTAACACGAGCGGCTCAACTGCCCACCATTGAGCTAGAGTGACACTACCAACAATTAGTTAGTTGTCACAATTAGCATAACCCTATACTTAGGTAGGTTTGGGGAAAATAAACCATCTATTTAGGTAGGTATTAGGGACATTAGCTAGTGTCAATTGAGTATCAGCTGAGTCTGTACTCACAATTATATACAGTTGACTATTAATAGAGACTGATTAAATAAAATTAATTTCTCATTTAATTTGAGGATGAATTAATGAGTTTTCAGTGAAAAGCCTGTGAGCTGTAATTCAGTTAGCTACAAGTCACTATGACTAAGCTACTTATCTCACTGTCGATTCAAGAGTCTTCCTTGATTTTAATGAATAATCACATTCAGTCCTCTAATATTAAATAACACTTAGCTAGGTTAGCAACTTAGTTATATTATTAGTCTAAAATGACTACTGCACTATAGTGCAAATTTAAACCATATTTAATTCTGCTTAAGTGCAGACAATTCCTCATTTGAGTTTGAGATTATCATGATGCTTCAGTGACGAATTATTGTCTAGTAACTCAACAGTTTCAAGTCATGGTGACCCTAGACAGTGACCTCACTGTAGTTTCGAAGTCTCCTTGATCTTGAATGATAGAATGATTAATTCTTTACATTCTTTAATTAATGTATAACAATGTAGATTATAACTTATATAATATTTTCTTCTGCCTTATTGCAGATCATAGCGATGTTATTGAGAATATTTTCTGAGTCTGCAGAACACTTAAGTGATTAAGTAATTCAACCATTACACGTCTTAGCGACAATAGTCATTGATTCTAGAGATTTCTTGATTTTAGATGAGTTAATTATTTAATAATTTTAACATTAATTTATGTTCCCATAAAGACTTAGTCACATCAGTTACACAGATACGGGACATCCGTTCTGTACGTACTAACATACTAACCCAATGAATATAACTTTAGGGTAGAGAGACAGGTACGTCAGTACTAAGACCTGAACGGCGAGTTATGTTGGAAATATCCAACACTTATTCATCATTTTTAGTACTTCAATAAATCATCCTTGTATTAACAACAGTAATTTACTAATATTATTAATTTGTAGATTAACAATATTAATTCCATTCCTACTTCGTAATTATTTTGCCAAATCTTTCCTACCTCATGGCGATGTTGCGTCAGACAACTCAGCAGAAAGAAAGGTAACATCTACATTTCAGAGATTAGTACTCCCTTCATATCAGTATTCTTTCCTAAGAATTATTAACTGATACTGTGTCAACCAGTGATCAAATAATACCGCGTTATTAACTGAGGATCACTATATAACAGTACCCACTGTTATCCCAGAGAATCACGGAGAACAGAATTTCTCCTTTCGCCTTTCGTCTATATGAACTCTATTTTATATTAATTATTATTCGACGAGAATGCAAATAATATTAGTTCCTCTATAATAAACACTAGCCTTGTTCTCTAACGTGGTTGAGAAATTATTAGGAGAAGAATTCTCCATATTAACTCTCCGTGCTATTGCGCAGGCGAGACTGGTGAGAGAAGGAGGAGGAGAGCGACAACAGCCATATTGCTTTTTTTTTTTTTTCAGGGATATTCCTGCGCGGGCCCTAAGCCTCTGGCTGGCCCACTAAGTGTTGCTTGCTTCTGTTTCACTTAGGCGGAGTATGAGTATTTATGACTCGGGCCATATTGCTGATCACAATCACAGGCAGCGTCTAGGAGCTCACGCATTCATCCTTGCAGCAGTGGATGCCAAGGTTCAGGAGTGACTCCGTCAACCATCAGATACTCGTCCCGGCGAGCGTAATTTAGCTAAGTCCTACAGATATTTGTTCATTTGTGATCACGATGCGACAAATGCATCCTGATCACAAAAAGTTAGTCCTATGCTCGAACATGTCCCCACCTTTCATTCAGAAATACTGTAGTTGTATATTCACCTTGGTATAGACATTTCTTACATTCTAACTGTGTTTTCAGCTTGTGCTATAGTGACAAGAGGGAGATAATCTTCCAATCCACGTTGTTCCAGGACAGCATGTTTCGACAAGTATGTTGACGTGACTGCCCTTACGCGTACACCTATTTCTGCCATGCAGCTAAGCCGCTGTTAACTCCTTAGTAGTATTTACTAACATTTAATTAATTCTTGATCGTTAATGCAAGATCACATTTTACTAACCATTTAGATTTTGCCACATAATTACTATTGATATTCTTGATATCTTAATGGCATTTTTAGATGCGTATTAGAATTCATTTCATTGTGCAATTAACGCATTAGTTATTTTAAACTATTATAACCCCTAAAGAGTGTGGACGGATTTGGCTCTTTAATTTAATTATTATTCTACAGTTCACTTAATGCTCTCGCATTATAGTATTAATTATTCTTGAGATCCAGAGGCACTGGTTCTCTTAATTTATTA